GGGAGAACTGTATGTCCCCTGCTCTGTTTTACCTGCATTCTGCCATGTATTTCATGTTATAGCCATCTTGGATGATGACCCAGCACATGTGGGTTTTTTGTTTTTGGTTTTTTTAAAGAACTCTTTCACTGCAGATTTGACAGGATGCAAAGAAGGTACCAATATGAGATTTCTAAAGATAGCTAAGGCACTCAACTCAAGGTTTAAGAATCTGAAGTGCCTTCCAAAATCTGAGAGGGACGAGGTGTTGAGCATGCTGTCAAGGCTGATTTCCCCACTCTGGCACTTGGAGTGCAGAAGGTGGGGGCATACAAGGATTTGAAAAATTAATACTGGCTACTCCAGGCTTGTATTAAACTCCCAAGGTTACAGCTTCTCTCTGACCTTGGATAGGTAGTTGCTGCTGCTGCTACCACCCAAGTGCAAAACCCCTTTGAAAACCCAGGAAGGTGCACTTGGGAATTCCTTCCTGTGGGGTACCCTCAAGCCCTTTCACGCCCCCTCCAGGGAAGAACTGAGAAGGAAAAACAAAGGAAATCAGCTGTTGCCACCAGCTAATTAAACATGTGCACAAACCTCTTAGGACATAAAAATCCAATTCTGTTTTTAAAAAAAGGTAAAAAAAAAAAAATAATTTAAGAGAATACATCTAGGAACTCAGGCTATTGCTAGATTTTAAAAAATACACTTACAAGGACTAAACATCAAGAATAATGTTCTTGAGGTCCAGCTTAAAGGTTACAAGCAAAACAAAAGCATTTGAGGTTAGCACAGAGGAGTCTGCAAGCCATAAAGAGAGAAACCTAATCACATCTTCCTAGACCTTTCCTGATCTACTTACATACAAATCTGAGATTTCAAATGAGGAGCTTCTAGTATGATACTGATGATTTTTCGTACCTGGCCCAAAGCTTCTTGCAGCATAACTGCAGCCCTGTCTGCCTCTTCCAAAGAACAACAGACAGACAAAAGGGGAGTCTTTTCAATTTTAAAAAGTTTTAGCCTTCCCATTGGCTCTTTTGGTCAGGTGCCCACTCATTTCCTTTTACCTAGTCATCACAGTGACTTTTAACCCTTTACAGGTAAAGCAAGTGGAGAACAACTACTAAGAGGGGATTTTATAGCTAGCTGGTTGGCTGGGTCCATAAAAGGGAGCTCCCCCCCCCCCTTCATTTATCTCACATGCTTTCACAAGTCTTGAAAGAGCAACACTCCAACGAGGAAACTAGAGAACCCAAACTACCAAAAAAGAAAATCAACCTTCTGCTGGTGGCATCTGACTCGGATGATAAAAATGAACTTGTGTCAGTCTGCACTGCTTTGGATAGTCATTGAGCAGAACCTGTCATCAGCATGGACTTGTCCTCTGGAATGGTGGTTGATGCATGAAGGGTCATATGAATCTTTAGGGTATTTGGCACATAAATATCTTGTGATGCTGGCTCCAACAGTGCCATGTGAATGCCTGTTCTCATTTTCAAGTAACATTGTAAAAAAGAAGTGGGAGAGGCTCTATTGCAAATCTTTGTCTGAGTGATTGGCTAAGCAAGAAGTAGGACTGAATGGACTTGTAGGCTCTAAACTTTTACATTGTTTTATTTTTGAATGCAGGTTTTTTTACATAATTCTACATTTGTAAATTCAACTTTCATGATAGAGATTGCACTACAGTATCTTTCAGTTTCCACATTGCAAGTACTATCTCTCTTTTACAGTTCATATATTTGTAATAAAAAATAAAGTGAGCACTGTACAGTTTGTATGCTGTGTTGTAATTGAAATCAATATATTTGAAAATGTAGAAAACATCAAATTTAAATGGTATTCTATGATTAACAGTGCAATTAATAGTGTGATTAATCACGATTAACTTTTTTAATTGCTTAACAGCCCTAGTAGAAATTAACCATTGTGGTGAGGATCCTCATCATTCATTCCCTTACATTCCTCAGGCCCAAATATTTAAACAATGAATGCATCCATCTTCAAGCTGTTGCCTTGCAGACTTTTTCCTGAGGATCAGGATTTGAGCAATAGAACGTAGCTGACATGCAGTAAAGTACTATAAATGTAGTACAGTTTTATGACTTGGTTTTCAAATACTCCTCAACACATCAATAGGCATCATTTGATCAAATCTACTCAACATTTATCACCTGAATTTAATAGTTGGGGGGGAGGTCCCTTTAAAAAATTAAGAGCAGAACCAACAACCCTGGAGACGTGAATCCTAAACTTATTCATGCTACAGGTACAACAGGGCAACAGCAGTGCACATCCCTGCCCCCTATGCTGCCATGCAAATGTGACTCAGCCCAGATGTGAAGAGGGGAGTTGGCGTCTCTGCTCAGCTACCAACAAAGGGGCAGACTGTGAACGGAGCTGGTGGTGGTTGTGATGTGGTCACACGGTACTGGAAACTGGGCTGTTGCCAACAATTCATTTCATGTGGGCCACTGAACAGCCATGAGATGGTAATTCTTTTCAGTCGCTGCTGCTCTTGGGCCTGATCCAAAGCTCACAGAAGTCAATGGAAAGACTGTCTTTGACTTTGGTGAGGTTTGGATCAGTTTCTAGGATGGATTTGCTCTGGCATGTTTTAATCTTGTCCTCTTTAGGGTTTGGAATAAGCATTACAGCAGTTGCAGGTGTACGGGATATTAGGGCTTGATGGAAATAACATTGGCATATGTCTCAGAGTCATTTTGTGAGTGAGATCCTCACCCAGTCGTTTCTGGATTTTCCCTACCTGTTTTAAGCAAACAGGTTATCCTATGGAGGAGGAGAAGTTGAGTCTAGCGTACATATATCCCTCTGACTTACGCACAGGCATCTCCCATTTTTCCACAATGATTGTCTTTTTCACGCAGGGGCTGAGAAATGTAAAGGGATTTCCCCCATTACAAAATCAGATTTCAAGTGTGTAACTGAATTGTGTGTTTGGTGCTTTTGTTTTTTAGAGCCGTGGTTCTCAAACTTTGGTAGAATCATAGAATATCAGGGTTGGAAGGGACCTCAGGAGGTCATCTAGTCCAACCCCCTGCTCAAAGCAGGATCAATCCCCAACTAAATCATCCCAGCCAGGGCTTTGTCAAGTCTGAACTTAAAAACCTCAAAGAGAGGAGATTCCACCACCTCCCTAGGTAACGCATTCCAGTGCTTCACCACCTTCCTAGTGAAAACGTTTTCCCTAATATCCAACCTAAACCTCCCCCACTGCAACTTGAGACCATTACTCCTTGTTCTGTCAGCTGGTACCACTGAACAGTCTAGATCCATCCTCTTTGGAATCCCCTTTCAGATAGTTGAAAGCAGCTATCAAATCTCCCCCCCCCCATTCTTCTCTTCTGCAGACTAAACAATCCCAGTTCCCTCAGCCTCTCCTCATAAGTCATGTGTTATAGTCCCTTAATCATTTTTGTTGCCCTCTGCTGGACTCTTTCCAATTTTTCCAAATCCTCCTTGCGTGGGGCCCAAAACTGGACACAGTACTCCAGATGAGGCCTCACCAATGTCGAATAGAGGGGAACAATCACGTCTCTTGATCTGCTGGCGATGCCCCTACTTATGCAGCCCAAAATATCGTTAGCCTTCTTGGCAACAAGGGGACGCTGTTGACTCATATCCAACTTCTCATCCACTGTAACCCCTAGGTCCTTTTCTGCAGAACTGCTGCCTAGCCATTCAGTCCCTAGTCTGTAGCAGTGCATGGGATTCTTCCATCCTAAGTGCAGGACTCTGTGCTTGTCTTTGTTGAACCTCATCAGATTTCTTTTGGCTCAATCCTCTAATTTGTGTAGGTCCCTCTGTATCCTATCCCTACCCTCCAGTGTATCTACCACTCCTCCCAGTTTAGGTATTGGTGACCCCTTTCACACAGCAAAGCGGAGTGCCACCCCCTCCTATAAATTAAACATTTTTATATTTAGCACTATTATAAATGCTGGAGATTTGGGGTGGAGGCTGACAGCTTGCGACTCCCCCCACCTCCCCCACGTAATTTTGTGATCTCCTGAGGGGACACGACCCCTAGTTTGAGAACCCCTGTTTTAGAAGCTGAACCTAAACCCTAGTAAACAGCTTTGTGATAGGATGATTCTTGCTAGTCTTCCAAACAAGGCATTGCCCGCAGTATCCCAAGGAGTTATTGTCCTGGTGTAGGCCGTTCACATACTCCCTCATCTCTGTTCCTAATGCCCCTGCCAAGCAACTGCCTGCTTCCTTCACTTCTGGCCTCATCTACTTGACAGCCATGCCTGGAGGTGGGAGGTTTCTGGTCTCTTGACTGCAATAGGCCTATATATGCTTTCCCCTGCTCCCTAGTGGATAGCCTACCAAAAGTGTTACCTCTTGAATTATCACAGCTACCAAAACTGCCAGCACCATCAGACAGAAGTTCTCCTTTAATTCCAGGCACAGGAGTCTGTTATCTGGAGTGAAACATCCTGGGTTCTATCTCTATTATATAATACTGGTGTCGGACCCAACTCCAGATGTCTCTGAAGTCCAATGGGGAAACTCCCCATAGACTTCAGTGAGACCAGAATTGGGCTGGGAGTGTCTGTTTTATTAATTCCTGGCAACACCTTCTAGGGTTCTTCCAGAACTTATCCCATGTAGATTGACAGAGGACAAGTTGGTGACGTTCTCCATCAGTAGCTGATTGTTAAGGTCCCACAGGCAAATAACTGAGGGTTGTTAACAGTGTAACTCATGTGGTTCTTAAAAATTAAGCTTATGTTGCCTTTTACCATGTACCAAATGGGCATGAGCTGTTTAGATTACATTGGATAAAATGTGGTATAGGAAATTCATTTTTCCTAACTGTCCCATAGTTGATATCTCAACTATAATTTTGTCTCAATCAGGTCATTGTTCCATACTTCTCATTTCCCTTTCCATATAGTCTAATCATAGTCTCTAATGTTATCTCTGACACACACAGTTCAATATTTATTTGAAAAATGAAGACTTCGTTGCCACCAGACCCTGTTCACTAGTTTCTGTCTTTATTTCATGGTTCATTTCACATGACTAAATTAATAACAATCTGTGATCTTGACACATCCCCTGTAGGATGCAGTCTGGATTGGAAATGGTGCAGTGCCGAATGATGCGACTGTGTAGACCAGTGGCTCTCAACCTTTCCAGACTATTGTACCCCTTTCAGGACTCTGATTTGTCTTGCGTATGCCCAAGTTTCACCTCACTTTAAAACTACTGCAACAAAATCAGACCTAAAAAGACAAGAGTGTCACAGCGCACTATTACTGAAAAATTGCTGACTTTCTCATTTTTACCATATAATTATAAAATCAATTGGAATACAAATATTGTACTTACATGTCAGTGTGTAGTACATAAAGCAGTATAAACAAGTCAGTCTATGTAAAATTTTAGTTTGTACTGACTTTTTTTCTAGGACTTTTTATATAGCCTGTCGTAAAACTAGGCAAATATCTAGATGAGTTGATGTACCCCCTGGAAGACTGCTGCATATCCCAAAGGGTATGCATACCCCTGGCTGAGAACCACTGGTATAGAACTTCCAACAGTGCTGTGACTATGTCACTGAGTTTCACGGGGGACTTTATCCATAAACACTAAGTTTTTTCTCTGATGTAACCTCCTGTAGACAAAAGAGAGACCAAAATAATTAAGTGAGGTTTAACTATTTTTAATTCCTCCTAGTCTAAACTCTTATAATTGGAACATTTGAAATAACAGGGCACACTCATCCCAGGAACAACTCCCTGAGTTCCTTAGAACTACATCAAGGCTGAATTTGGCCCAATAAGCTAGAGGGGAAAATAGTCCCTCAAATATAGGGCTGTTGTGTCTAGCCTTATATTCTTCAGTAGGTTTCAGCCTCTTACCCCCATATCCCAACAGCTTGTCTTCCTTTCAGTAAGATGGTCCTCTAGGTTATACATCCATGCAGGGTTGTAGCGGGGTGGGAAGACCTCCTTACTGAATTTCACAGATTACTTAATGCTGTGCCTCACAGCTCAGAAGAATCTCCAGTGAGCCATTGCCTCCCTTCCTACATAAGTAAGGGTGAAGTGGGTTCTCCGGGCAGGTAGGGTACAGATCCCACCTCTCTACCCCTGCAGTGTGGAGCCATGCAATAATTCTGATTAATGCACATTAGTGTTTCTGGTCCCAGCTGAGTGACTTTAAAAGGCAAATTCTTAAAAGAAATTCCCTCATGGTGTACTTTAGAGAAACTCTCACAAAATTCTCATATTTCAAAATGGCTGCCATCTCCCAATGCTCATGTTTCAACTTCCTGGTCTTTTTTGCAACTTCCTAAATTTCAAACAGTGGTTTTGTAACTTTATCTCTGAACTATCTAACATCTGTTTTTATTTTTCATTGGGCCACTTTCAAAAGCCAGCGCTTACCCACAGTTTGTTTAGTATAAACACTGGTATCTGAGATATCACAGCTTTATCCTATACTTATTTCTATCTAATTACAGGAAATAAGGCCCTGATCCAAGGCCCATTGGAGTCAGTAATAGTGTGCAGTAACTTTAAGTAAATGTTTTATTAGGAGTAATTACTGTATAACTAGTTCATAACAATAATGTTTTAAATAAACAAGTATATGCTTTGTTAGCTAAGTGGGCAGAAATTTGGATCCCCAGATGCTAGTTCTCTTGAAGTTTTGGTAGCTAGAGGCCGGATCCAACAGACACTAAAGCGAAAAGGAACTTCTCAGTTGACGTAAATGAAGTTGGACTGAGCTCTATAGAAGCAAAAACTCCTAAATGTCCTGCAGACACTTCCCACCCACCCCCTTAAAGAGAACTTATAGGAGACTGAAATTATGGATGATGATCTCCAGGGTTTTAGGCTGACGGACCACGTTCCATCACCCAGGAGGAGGCCTTCAGTCCCTTCTAGAAAAGCCCTATTGAACGTAATAGAGAATGGTGACCTTTCGATTGAGTCCTTTAGCATATGACAGAGAATTAGTTTGTTGGATTTGTAATGATTTCTTTTCTCTGCCTATTTACCATATCTCCAAATGCTGTACAGTGTTAAGCTCACCAGCTGAGCCAGTACGACAGCATTTGAAACATCTTTTAGAAGATGTTGGAACAGGCGCCATAGAGGAAAATGGCGTGAGGGAGACAGCCAGGCTTGGCTGATTCAGGAAAGTGACAAACAAGTTTGGGTGCTTCCATTTTGAGGTGCCCGTTTGAGAAAGGGCATGACTTTCAGAAAGAGCTGAGCAAACGCTGTCTGAAAACCTCACCCTTTTAAGGTGGCTCAAGTTGGACACCAAAAATAGAGATGCTCACAACCTTGGCCAGAGAGTGCATGCACTTGGCCTGGCATTGCTGTCAGGTCGATAGGGACAGTAAGCCCAATGGGAGATCAAAGGAAGAAGTTACTGGGAGACACCCAAGCTCCAGACTAGCTCATCCTTTTGCACCATGGCCTGTGAGAGATGCTTGCATATAACTCAGGCATGCAAATTCCAGACGTGCACTGCAAATGAAGTACTAACACACATGTGGCCAGTTAGGGGCAAGCAAATGAGTGTGCAAACTTTGATAATTCCTCCTTTAAAATTGGCCAGCGTGAATTCACGATTTGTGCCAGTGGAGTTGGAGGCTGGTAGCATGCTGGGCAAAGTATGGTAAGATGCATGCAGGGAAACCTGCTCAACTATGCACCGATTATATCTTGAATTTCAAAAGCACCTTTTACTCAGCAGGAGCATTGTACAAATGATACACATGCAGGCATTTCCTTATCTCCCAGTCAAATGCAGCCATCTCTGAGGCACTGCTGATAAATAGTCCGGAACAATACCATGTAATTGTTTAGGTCAGGAAGCAAAGAACAGCGTGTGTTCTGTTCAGATTACAGGGGCAATTAAAGTAGGGAGAACCTGTACAGTGGTTATTTGCACTTGGCTAGGACACTGGATAAAACCTCTTCCAAAAACTGCCACTGACTCTTCAATGACCACACAAGACCATGCTGTAAATTTTATATCTCATCCAATGGATGGAACCTAAAATAGCACAGCAGCCTCCTAACTCTATGCTTGAGTGCTGGTTCAATATTGACTCAGACACCACTTCTGTAGAACCTCTGAGGTCTCGCATCCAAACACTGACCACACCTACTCCTGCTTCGCTTGTGAGAACTGACAAGTCCTAGCCTGAGGCGGGAGGGCTTCAGGCCATGTTTAGAGCCATTGTTCCTAAGACTACCAAGCATGCAAGTTGCCATCAAACAGGCTGCTAGCAGCCTCTCCCTGCATCCCCTCTACATGCTCGCACACCCGACACGCCAGTAAGAACTTGCCTGTGAGTCACTCCATTCTGTTCCCGGGTGGGTGTCTTCTGAAAAGGGCAAGGCACATGGGTTTGGATTCCTTTTATAAAAATGTCCTTTTACAATCCATGTAACCTTTCCATTCCAATCCCTTTCAGCATCAAGACTGGCAAGTGCAAATCGGTAGGGAATGTCTTGCAGAATACTTGGCTCAGCATGAGTAACAGTCTCAAATGTAACTGTTTAGTTTGGCACAAAGCATAGTGTAGTAAATATAGTAGAAGGAGAAGATGAGGAGAGAGGTTTTGTAAATAATGGGGCAGTGAGGAAACACAGGGCAACGAGCATAGACATTGCCCCGTAAAGGAAGTATTGGGAAAGGAAGGGGGCTTTGGAGAAAGGACTTTGGAGCAAAGAGCCAATGTAATGGATCAGTATGATGTTTTACATCAGCCAAATTGAGAAAGTGTTGGGGGGACAAATCTTCACTGACTAAGTGCATTTGCTTTTTGGTGGGGACTAGGTTTATTCTGCAATGTGATCTGCCAATATTGTTCACTGACTTCAAGCATGCGGGGCGGGGGTAGAGAGGGATCAACTTGCAATTAGTAACCTGTCCCCCTCCTTACCATTTAGAGAAATATAAAACACAGACAAGAACAAACCATCCAAATATTTTATGAGAGATTTTACTTCCAGAGATATTTGCGTTTTAGTGGTCAATTACTTAGTGTTCTCTGTATTCCATATAGCGTGTATGTGTGCCCTTTGTAAATCAATCAATTATCCAGCAAAGTGTTTCTGGGATTTCGGTAACAACCTTGCTTTCCACTAACACATCGATTTCTATGTTGTATAGGTCATACAGTCTGTAATGCACAGGGCAAGTGGCACCATGGCAGTGATTCATGCAAAAAGGAACTTTTACATGTTACAGCTGACTCGAAAATGTAAGATAGGGGAATCATAATTTTTGTTTCAATTTTTTTCTGTTTTTATATTGAAATTTTGTCAACCTTCTGACACTTGAAAAATTTTGACCAGCTCTATAGTTGGGTTAAAAAACCAGAGGGGTGGGGGGAGGAATGAAATCTTTTCCTGCTCAAAATTGAATTTTTTTGACTTTTTTTACATTTTGACATTTTTCATCAACATTTTGAAATGAGAAAAATTTCAACTCGCTTTACTGACTTCACTGTCATAGCAGCTGCACCCTCCATGGCCAGAGAGTCCCAGACACCATACCACTTGCAGAACTCAGGACTGTGTAACAAGAACAGGAGGACTTGTGGCACCTTAGAGACTAACCAATTTATTGAGTATAAGCTTTCGTGAGCTACAGCTCACTTCATCGGATGCATTCGCTAATCCTTTGCTCAGAAGATCTTGACTGGTCCGGTTCATTATGAACAAATAATAGTAAAAAAAATCTACTTTTTTAGTGATTGCAGTGGTGGTGAATGGTGCCATATTGACAACGCTGTATGTTAAAGACACAGGCTCGGTAAAGCAAGGCTTGGGCATTGTGAGCTCCTAGGATTCCTGGCTCTGCCCACACCCTATGTTGCCTTTTCTTTCTAGAAAGGCACTCCCACCTCCTTAATATCAGAGGTGGTAATGATCACCTACTTCACTGGTTCATCGGGAAAATGTGCATCAGTTCTGATTGGCAAAGACTACCTCTGCAAGAAGAGTGAGCACGTAGTTGAGTCTTTGTGAACATTAATAACTTGATTTTCCTATTGGAAGTGCCCACTCTCAGACATGGAAGAAGAACCACACTGGCTGCACTGGTGGTACCTACTCTCAGCCTAGCTTTCAAAGCAGTGTTTAGGGAATTAGCCGCATGACTTCCATTAATATCAATGAGCCAGACTTACTCTGCGCCCCATCTGTGTTGTACGACGTTTTCAGAGGGTTCTCTCTGTCTAGGGTTTTCTACCCCACCCATCCTGATGCTATTTGAGCACTTGAAAGAAAAGTTGTGCAACAAAGAAAGAGCCTGATGCACCAGGATGTGGTCAGGCTTGAATGGGCCATGAAGCGCTGAATATCATGTTCTGCCTCTTATTGATTTTTTGCAAGTGACTCAAGGTAAGAACTCTGTATGATTCATAAAACACAAGATTCAGTTCAAGCAGGCATGAATTGACATGTGGCATGCAGGGGCAGGGCTTCCAATAACTTACACATTTAGGGAGCAACTCTCTTTTTGCAGCAGCCTGAAAACAGGGTGTGAAGTTGTTTTCCATGCTGACAATGTGGCCTCCACCAAGAGGCTGCAGGAATGATGAATAAAGGGAAAAACAAGGTGTAGTTCTAGGCAAACTTAATGGATACCATAGGAAGTGTGCTGTCATAGGGCTAATAGCCAAAAGCACACTCTAGAAATAGCGTGGAACGAGAACTCCAGATCCCAACACTCCTCAAACTTTGGGGCAGTTTGGATCCAGATCCAAACTTTGCAGTTTAGTCCCATCTCTAACAATTGTCAGGCCCATGGTAAAAGTAAACAAATTGTCACTAGAATAGTGTGAGGAAAAAGCAACTAATCAAATAAAATGGTGTGCGTGCTTATTTGGATGACTACGGCTTTGGTGATTATTCATAAAGGGAAGGCATGCATTGCCAAGAGCAGAATTTCCTAGCTCAATATTGGGCAGTGACATACACTGCACAAGTGATGCAAATCAGATAGAAGGGACAGATCGTCAAGTGGTTTAAACTGGGGTAGTGCCACTAAGAGGTAGTGTGGCCTAGCAGACGGAGCACTAGACTGTGGGTCAGGAGAGACCTGGGTTCTAGTGTGAGCTCTGGCCTGCTGGTTGACCCTTGGCAAGTCACTTTCCCCTCTCTGCCTCAGTTTCCCCATCTGTAAAATTGGGATAACGATGGTAAGCTTTGTAGATTGCTTGGGGATCTAATGATAAGCTAGGCATTACTATGAGGAAAAAGAATTACTTGTGTAAAACATAACCTCATTGTGAGAATCTTCACTGCCCCAGGGCTGGATCTGGTATTACTTGATTGGTAACGTCATTGGAGAATTATTTCTGAGTGTTTCATTGTTCAAAGGTGTATGTATCTTACTCGTACATTTCAATTATCTGTGTGATATCTGTAGTCTCGGGGACACCTTTTGAATACAATTAAGCAGTGATAATCACTTGTGTGTGGGGGGGAAAATGAAGGTTTAATGTGTTGCTAGTTAGGGAGGCTGACCCAGAAAGAACACACACACAAATGCAGCTGCATGTTCTCTCATATAACCTAAGTATGAAACCTCCCACGGATCAGTCCAATAGCAGATGCGCTTGTTTACATGGAAAACTAACACACCCAGAAGATATGCTCTTCAGATCCTCTGATGCCATTTGATTACATTTGTCAGGTTAGTGAGTGTGGTACTCTTTTTACAAACATAGAAATATGCACCACTTTTTGATCCAAAGGCCATTAAACGCTCAATGGGAAGACTCCTGCTTGCTTTGGATCAAGAGCCCTAGATTGGACCCCAAGGGTGCTAGTTGTACGGAAATGAGTCAGAGTGGTCTAACCTGCTTTAAGGGCCAGATCACAAAGTTCCGATTGCACTATAATTAGTCTCACAATTCACAGCTGATATTCACCTTTATTCACAACCAATTAAATGTAAAGCTATCTGAGTAAGTCACACCTGGAGAGGATACAGTGGGAAACTTGCAAATGTCAGACAAAGTTGTTGGATGCATACACTGGTCTGGTCTTGAGACAGTTACTTAATTTTACTGACTTGGAACTTGCAGGTTCCAAACTCTGTTCTGTAGGGTGAGAGAACAGGAAACCAGTTTGGAGAGAGGAGAGAACATTGTTATTGCATTACTTAGCCTGTGAATTGGTTTCTAGGAAAAAGGCCATTTTGTGCCACTAGGAACAATCATCCTGTTTTTATTAGTGTAGCTTGTTTTAACTTTGCCACTCTGGTAAGATTACAGGCCCAATGTCAAATATAAGGTTGAGAAGGCAGGCACTGCCCAGCTGTCTCATTACCCCACACAGTCACCTACAGTACGCCTGCTACTTGGGCCCTCCAGCAGTTCTACCACTGCAAATCCACTTCAGTCCTGACCTGCAGCATTCCCTGCCCTTCCCGTCCTTGCCTCTCTCTCAGCTCTGCCAATACACCCCTGTGCAGTATCTCCTGCTTGTTTTCACCTTTGCTGCACTATGAAAAGACGGGTGCTGGTGAGTAACTGGAGGTAAAATCCTGGTGAAGACATTGCACTTTGAATTTTTGCCAGGGTGAGTTGAAGGCTAGGCTCTGTCATAACCTGACCTAACTCGTGTGAAAACTACAAGCTAAGTTTCTTCTCTAGATTACGAATCGTGTTTATTGTGGTAGTGCCTAAGAACCAAACAAAAATGGGACCTCAGTATGCTAGGTAAAACCAGAAGGTCCCTCCCCTGATGACCTAAATAGAGCAGACAGGGAGGGGAAGAGGTAGAACACGAGGGCAGAGCAAACAATATGGTGGTAGCAAATGTCACATTAGTTTCATGATTTGGGGGGAGGGAGTTAGGAGGGGAAGAGCTAACTGGGGGGGCGGGGGGTAGGAGGGGCAGGTGCAGAGTTAGGCAGAGGTGAAGAGACAGAAAAGGAGGGCTGAACCAAACAGCATAGGGCTGAGAGAACCTGGTCAGAACTGTACAAGTTTCTCTGAATGTCCAGAGGTCCCTGCTTTGGCAGCTTCCGTCCCTATGGGCTGGAGTGTCTAGCCGTCTCCTCTCGGCCGTCTCCTCTCTGCCGTCTTCCCCCAAGGTGGTGGGAGGGGAGGCCACGTGGGTCCTAGTGCCACCAGAAGGGCACTCCAGTTAGTGAAGGGCATGCCCTGTGTTCTCTGTGAAGGCAAGGCCTCAATCATGAGCTCCCATAGTCCCGCAAGGGCTCTTGGGTGCTGCCCTGCAGTACCCAGTTCTGGATCCTCACACGGCTCTGCCAGTGCACGTCGGCTCTGCCAAGCCAGGCCCTCCAGTGTTGCCTTTCTGGACAGATGCTGTGTTCAAGTATACTGAACAGTGAGGGCACCAAGTGACTTTCCCTTGTGAGGTGAACAGGATATGAACGTCAGCCTCCTAAGATAAAATGCTGGTGCAGCCTCACCTCATCACTCAGCCTCATCTTCTGGCCCTTTCGCAAAGGTGACATCGCGTCTATCAGACTATTTACATTGCACCATAAAGTGTGGAATTTAAGAATAAAAGCACGTACCCCGTGACGATCATCCTATGACAGGAACACAACTGCATTAGTGTAAGACATGATATAATTGAAACCTCTGGCAGATTTCCCACAGCAAAATTGTTAATCCTCACTAGCTAGGATTAGTCACCACTTCTTACAAGCCCTGACACACAGCCTGCAAGTTATTCAGTTAATTCCCATTTATGGGATAAATATTGCATCCTATGGAAGGAAGACACTGCCAAATTTCCCATCCTATTGCATAATGATGCATTGTGTCCCTTACAACTGAAGGTAGAGGTGATGAAAAGCAATAAGGTGTGATTAATGTCCGCAGACTTCATCCGTCAGAACGTAGTTAGATCAGAGGGGAAATTTTAGTACAAAATAGCTTATTGAAACACAAAGTGGTGAATGCCTGATTCTCCTTCTCAAAACACTAGAGTAGTCCACCTTTACTGTTTTAAAGCAGTAAATAGCCCTTGATTCCAGCTGCGATATACTTACTATAGCATGCCGCTGCCGGAAGTGGTCGTGGTGTTGCCTTCAAGCTCATGGGGGTAACATTTTCAGAAGCACCTAAATCCCATTTTGAAAAGTGTCTAGGTGCCTAACCTCCATTGAAATCACTGGAATTTAGGCACCTACATACTTTTGAAAATCCCACTAAGTGCCTATCTGCATGTGTCGGTGAAGTGCCTAAATACTTTAAAAAATCTGGTCCTAAGTCCCTTAGGTGCTTTTGAAAACTTCACCTTACGAGCATTTAGTAAACACAGCAATGGCCAAATCTTCAAATTTGCAGCTGAAGTTTGAAACTGGCAATTTTGCACCTGTGTTTTTTCCATCTGCAATTGAATTATGGGTGCAGATTTGGGTACTTTCATTTACCTGATTGTGGATGCAAATCAGGACACTAGAGTTGCAAGTATTCAACAGCTGTAACTTGTTTGGAAGGCGCAAAAATGCAGCTGCCAGTTGCTCCTGCAAAATGGGAAGCTGGAGCTTAGCTGTTTTTCAGAAGTTAATTCAAAGATACCAGATCAGAGCAGCAGATGATTGAAATCAATGGACCTCAGCTGATTTACACAAGCTCAGGATCTGACTGACCGTAATAAGGCAAAGAGTAGAGCTGCTTGGAAAAGGGTAAATATTTTCAAAATAAATTAGAATGTTTATTTATCTTCCCAAATAGTTTAGTGGAAATATTTGGTTTAGCTTTTTTCTAATGAAAAAACAAAGTGGGGGGTTTTGGGGGGTGGGGTAGGGAGATGAGGTTGGTGGGTTTCAATATCCAAAAAGTGAACTTACGTTTTGTGGGACTCAGTTTTTCATCAAGCAGCTGTAAATTTTCAAAAGAAGAAAAACATGCAGAAAAAAAGACTTGTCTTCTAATTTTTTAAAATGAAAAATCAGGACTAGGTTTAGTAAAGAGCTAGCAGGGTTATTGAATATGAACAACGTTGCTGATAAGCCTTTCTGTAACTCACCACAACTTCCAAAGTTTGAGTCTAGCATGCACCAGGGCTTAGATAAGGTCTGGCATGGATTCTTCAGGAGTTCTCTGTTCCTGGGTTAGCCCACAAAGCACTTGCTGGTGGGTTTGGTACAAATGAGATCCTGCGTCCCAGAGCTTTCTGTTCCCCTTTCCAATCTCTTGCCCTACCTGATTACTCCCCACTCCCCCACAAGACTCTTCAGGACTGGTAATGTTTTCCCAACATCTGATGGCTATATTTGCCTTGTATACATATATTTAAACATTGTTGTATGGGCAAGTGAGTTAGCAACTCATTATTCATTCACAGCATATTCGTGACTACAGAGAAAAAAGCTGTTAGATCATCTTTCACATCACCCCTGCCAGTGTAGGCTTGTCCCCTGCAGCAGTACTGTGTTGATTCCTGTTTTAAAGAAGGCCCTGATCCAAAACCCACAAGCCCCATGGAAAGATTCCCTTTGATTTCAATTGACTTTGGATCAGGCCCTAAATCTATGATGCACCTATCCCTTCCTTATGGTGTTTATTCTACAATCTAATCTCACTATGAGGTTATATTAATCCAATATTCAATTTAGATTTTAATTTTGTCCTAATTATCTACACTTTATTCCCTGGGAAAAACCCTCACGCATTCTGTCTTGTGATTTGAATTGATTTTGAAATACGTGCAGGTGTTTTGGAGTCAAATTGTGGAGTCAGTTGGCATTTGCAAGCTTTATATTTCTCCCCTTCCAGCCTTGCTGAGAATTTTCTTTGAGGTTATTTTTCTGTTTCCTCTCCTGCATCCCTTATCATACAAGGGCACTTCCTCAGTTGGACTGGTTAGACTTTAATTCTGAAGCCATGGAAAATTATTATCAAACGGGACTAGTTTTAATGCAGATAATTAACTGGCATATCCGGTACTGGGTTATATTTTAACAGGTTAATATTGCACAATTACCTTCAGCTGTAACAAATCTTAACTCAAAAATACGTTTTCACTGAACCCTGTTTTCACTTAACTTAAAACATACATGGGCTTGACTGTGGGCCAGATTCTCCCTTGCAACAAGCCCATATTATGCTTCTCTGGCAGAGTACAGGGGACTTTAACCAGGTAAAAGTGGCCCGCTGAGAACACCCCCATTTAGGGAGTCTTCCTGGCTGGTGTATAGTTCATATAAGAATTCTACTCTGGCCCTGCTCCTAACACTTGGGGGTGTGGGGGATTGGGGTGTGTCTAATACATGGCTGGGATGTGCTACGCTATGGCTATTCTCCATTTCCAAAGATTATGGGAAGTAGAGTGTACAGTAGCACAGCCCTGGGGTTGCTCTGAATTACACCAGGGGCCAGGTAGAGCCTTGCATGGCCCCAGAATACATGGAGCACAAAGGTGGCTTCAAGCTTGCCCCTCCTATTCTGTGCCTGCCCCAAGTGTAGCAATGGAGAGACTGCAAATCAGATCTGTTTCTTTAAGGCATATCCCATGGTGGTGGGATACAGTGGTGCACTGTGGGTGCATGAAAGAGTGTAACCCTTGATGCACCTGCTCCATGTCAGGAGGAGTGAATGAATCAAACAGTTTATGCACAAGTGGGTGAGTTAAGGTTGCATGGCCTACCCTCATCTTTTGCAACCTGAAAAACGTTTTTAGCATAGGGGCTGTTGTATGGCATATGTATTGTAATATAGGATAATTTTGATTAAATATCTCTATTAGCCATAGATTTGAATGTTGATTCTTATATGGAAAAATGATTGATTTATAACAAGAGAGAACATTACAGTAAATTGTAGCCGGGTTGGGAGTAAGGAGCCACAGATTGGGGAATCCTAACGAGAACATGTTTCTAGACTGCATTCATCTCTCCAGTTTAAAGATTGCATCACTCTTTCCATTACAGCTCCTCTTTACTGGGTTTGAACTTATGCTAAGAAAAATCCCGCAGAACTTGTTTCAGCCTGAAATGTAGCAGGTAATGTTCCGGCCAAGCCCATTTACAGCCAGATCCTCAGCTGCTAGAAATCGACGTCATTCTGTTGACTTGCGGTGGAGCTACACCAATGTACATCAGCTGAGGATCTGGCCCTTAGACCTTTACTACTTCAGGATATTTTGTCACTCTTTTCATCTGAACTATCTCTGTTGGTCCTTAGGCTACTGCATGGGATGGCACCTCTGTGCAGGCTTCTTATACACAATCTCAAATCGTGAAGGCTGGTTCATCTATGGGTCAGCCTGTCAAAATTTTGGCTTTAAAACACAGAGGGTCAAATCCATCCCTGCTGTAACTATTGACATCAGTGGAGTTATGCTGGCCAAATTCTGCCATAAATGACACCGAGGCTTAGCTGGTATACAAGTGAGGACAGAAATTGGTCCTTTTTTTACAAGATCATCTTGTTTGATAAGCATTAGGGGACAAGTCCTGTGAAGCCATATGTGTAGCCATGCCTGAGCTAGGTTTGATCTGGCTAGTTCCAAGAACGATCTCAGTGAAGCTGCCGTAGCATTGGCCGCAGCACCAGCTGCACAATGCTGAGTGGGACTTGGCGTCCCCGCTATTGTTACTTGAGCGAGCGAAATCCAAGCTAACGCCGCCTGTCTACGTGTGCTGTAGCCACACCTCTGCCAGCAGTGAAGTGACTTAGTTATAGATGTGCAACTGTGAGCAGACTCTTATAGTTTCTCAGGGGAGCTCATTTTTAAGAGACTTAATATTGATGATCCACGCCGGCTGAAAGAAGAAAATTCCAATCTCCGCTTGATAGTTGGGATACTTTTTCAAAGGGCTGCACAAAAAGGTTAACTTCGTCTCTTCCATTTGACACGAATGGAATTGATGACTCAAGTCTCAATAAGCTATTCTAAGAGGGTAAAGTTCACCTTACTTACAAGGCTAACGTCGTACCTCTGAACAATGAAAGTCTGACTGCATTCCTGATGAGATGAACTTAGAATGGTGACATTTGGCTTAACCAGAGAGAGAGAGAGATTCTCTGACTTACCTGCTGGGGTTGTGTCCTCTGGACCACCAAGAACCTGTTTGGTATCTAGGCTGTACCCATGTGTCAAATGCACATACACATGCTAAGCCCAACCAGATGGTGCAGGATTCTGGCAGCTGGTTATGTTGAATCTGATGTTTGGCCAACAGTTGGTAGAGATACTCAGTAATGCCAACTCTAGGTTTCATGTCAGGCCCCCAAAATCATGAGATTTTTTTAAAAAATAAATAATTTTGAAGGTTTTTTCTTTTTGTCCTCTGATTCCTTAGCCTCCACGACATAATTTGGTCACATTTTCAACCTTTTCTCTCCAACCACGAGAGTGGAGGCTTACATTTTATTAACGATGGCTGAGATTATCCCCTAATTATACAATACCAGCAGCTGGGAAAAACTCACAAGAGTCATAAAATCAAGAGAGCCAGTCACAGTGGATACCAGCCCTGTGCAATTCTTTGAAATGTGCATTCTTCATGGCATTCTGGAAAATGCAACCCGCCACTATCTCAAAGGTGTGTGTGTGTGTGTGTGTGTGAGGGAGGGGGGGAGGGAGGCTTTGCTGGATTGGTGGAAAAAATAGGACAGTGGCTCCTTTTAAGGGTTTCCTCCTCCCCACTTTGGGCAGTGGGGGAGAGGTGTCCAGGAGGGCAGGAAAAGCATCACCTGAAGCCTTGGATGGGCTGTTGGGACTCAGATAAGTCTCTCACACTTGCGGGCAAATATATAAATCCTCTCCCTCTAGTTCAGTGGTTCTCAGCCTGTGGGTGCTGGCCAGTGGCCCGATCGGCACACAGCTGCGATCCATGTGACATCAGGCCATACACGTAGTATTGGATGCAGCCCACATAACACATTGTGGGCCGCATATGCAGCCCACAGTGGTAAATAGGTTGAGAACTACTGCTCTAGCTGGAGACCCCTATCTCAAAGACATAGTGTCAGGTTTCAGTCTGAATTGCATTATCCAGCTCAGCCTCTGTGTTGGGTCTGATCATCCCAGGTAATTTATATTTCTAAGATGCTAGCCAGATGGAGAGATTCAAAATCGTACCTGCTTCAAGTTGCCAAATCATTGGCAAAATCCCAGGGGTGTTTAAAAGGGGGAAACAGATTTCTCTCTCTTTGCTTGTATTTTCTGCAGAGCTGTGTGTGGTCTCCTCCTGGTGAGACTGCCTGGAAAATGGTATGTCACAACAAGAGCAGTGCAAGTGTCTCCTCACTGGTTCTCATCACCGACTCCATGGGGATGTACTGTCTGTCGTTATCAGCCTGTAGAGTGAAGGAGTACCCTTATCCTTCAGAGAGCTTGGTACCTCCTTCAAAGCAGTTGAAACGGGGATTCAGGATTTATTGTACAGTATGTATGTTACTGCCAAAATGCAGAAGACGGAGCTGCAAGGCAAGAAACCGCACACTCATACCAGCTTGTGCTAACCAGAGGCAGGACTGACTTAGCAGACTTGCTTGATATTTTGGATGTTAGGCTTGGCAGGTGACGGTGAAGAGGAATGGTAACTCAGTAGGTCTCCCTGAGAACTGTTTGCTGCTTAGGACTCTTGAAAATCAGGCAGGTGCCTAAATATGGGATCCAGGAGCCTAACTTCAGGCTCCTGTTTTAGAAAATCTTGGCACCTGATTAAATTCCTTCTGCACTTTCTGTTGGACACTAAATTCTTTTTCATTTCCTGCCATACACTGAGGTGCAGGGTTAATTACTAAATTTCACCTAGGTAGTTGCATTTCAGGGGCAGGTGCAGCAATCCCTAAGCATGGGACAAGCCACAAGACCTGAGTAAGGGGAGGTGCCACCCCAGCAGCAGGCCAGGAGGAGTCGGAGAGGTATGCTATGATTCCTGCTTCCAGCCCTGCTCTTGCTCCAGAGGGGAAGTAATCTGTGCCAGCCCTATAGCTTGTCTGATTACTGTGCCTTCTCAGCTGCATCAGCTGGCATGTTTCGGGGGAGGAGGAAACAAGACACCACCCACTCTTTGCCCACCTGTGCAGAAAGGAAAGCACAACTGTACCTAGGCTACACCACCTGCAGCAATGCTGTGCCCCACGATAAGCATAAGCTGTAGAGGGAAGGAAGGGAATTCGGGCACGTGCCATGTGTCATAGATGCACCCATAGCATGCATATCCGTTTTGAACAGCGTTTTGGGTTGCTTTGGGATAAACAGTTCT